CCAATTCCCAAAAATTTTGGGATCCCCCAGTTCGGGATCCCTCTGGAATTGCGGCCTCCCTCCCCCTCCCTTCCCCAGAATTTTTTGGGATTTCCCAGAAATTCGGGATCTCGGACGTTTTTTGGAATTTTTGGGGGGTTCCCCCTTCCCCCCCTTTTAAATTTTGGTTCCTCCCAAAAAGATTTTTCCCCCCCATTCCCGGAATTTTTTGGGTTCTCCCTTTGGATTTGGAGACCCCAAATTTTTTGGGGTCCCTCTGGAATTTTTGGGGATTTTTCTGTCAATTTTGGGCTCCCCTGGGATGAAAATTTGGGTTTAAATCTGATTTTTTTCCGTTTTCCCTCGGGAATTTTCCCCCCCATTCCCGGAATTTTTTGGGCTCTTCCTTTGGATTTGGAGACCCCAAATTTTTTTGGGATCCCTCTGGAATTTTTTGGGGATTTTCCCGTCAATTTTGGGCTCCCTCGAGTTTGAAATTTGGGTTTAAATCTGATTTTTTTTCCCCTTTTCCCACAGGATTTTTTCCCCCCATTCCCGGAATTTTTTTGGGGGTCTCCCTTTGGATTTGGAGACCCCAAAATTTTTTTTGGAGACCCCAAATTTTTTGGGGTCCCTCTGGAATTTTTGGGGATTTTTCTGTCAATTTTGGGCTCCCCTGGGATGAAAATTTGGGTTTAAATCTGATTTTTTTCCGTTTTCCCTCGGGAATTTTCCCCCCCATTCCCGGAATTTTTTTGGGCTCTCCCTTTGGTTTTGGAGACCCCAAATTTTTTGGGATCCCTCTGGAATTTTTTGGGGATTTTTCCGTCAATTTTGGGCTCCCCTGGGTTGGAAATTTGGGTTTAAATTTGATTTTTTCCCCTTTTCCCACAGGAATTTTCCCCCCATTCCCGGAATTTTTTGGGCTCTCCCTTTGGATTTGGGGATCCCGGATTTTTTGGGGGGATTTTGGGGAATTTTGGGGGGAATCCATGACCATCCACAACCTCTACATCTTCGACCGGGGCGGCTCCTGCCTCTTCTACAGCGAATGGCACCGGAGGAGACCCCCGGGAATCCCCCAGGAGGAGGTTTGGGAAAGGAATTCCAGAAAATTCCGGGAAATTCTGGGAATTTTGGGAATTTTCAGGAATTTTCAGGAATTTTCGTGAATTTTGGGGAATTTTCGGGAATTTTTTTGGAATTTTCAGGATTTTTTTTTTTGAATTTTCGGGATTTTTGGGGAATTTTGGGGGGCTCTGATGGGGATTTTTGAGGGAATTTTGGGGTTTTTTTGCCGGGTTTGGTTTGGGAAATTCGGGATTTTTTGGGAATTCTTGGGGAAATTGGGAATTTTGGGGTGTCTGGGAAGGGTTTTTGGGGGGAAATTGGGGTTTTTTGGGGGGGATTTTGGGGTTTTTGGGGGTTGGCATTTGGGGGTTTTGGGGGGATTTTAGGGAGGTTTCAGGAATTTGGGGACTTTTTGGGAATTTGGGTGAATTTGGAATAATTTGGGGGGGATTTTGGGAATTTTTGGGGCGTTTGGGAAGGGATTTGGGGGAGAACTCGGGGATTTTGGGGCTTTGGGATGGGGAATTCGGGGGAATTTTGGGAATTTGGAGTTTGGAAGTCTGGAAATTCTCCCAAAATCCCCCAAATTTTCCCGAATTTTCCCGAATTCCCAGGAATTCAAGCTGATGTTTGGGATGCTTTTCTCGCTCCGCTCCTTCGTGGCCAAGATGAGCCCCACGGACATGTATCCGAAAATTCGGGATTTGGGGTCCCAAAAACCCCCGGGAAATCCCAAAAAACGGGATTTGATCCCAAAAAACGGGATTTGATCCCAAAAAACGGGATTTGATCCCAAAAAACGGGGGATGGGGGGATCCTGGATGAGGATTTGGGGGGATTTTAGGGGAATTTTGGGAGGAATTTGGGGTTTTTTGGGGGGAATTTTGGGAGGAATTTGGGTTTTTGGGGGGAATTTTGGGAGGAATTTGGGGTTTTTGGGAGTAATTTTGGGATGAGTTTTGGGATTTTTTGGGGAATTTTGGGAGGAATTTGGGTTTTTGGGGGGAATTTTGGGAGGAGTTTGGGGTTTTTGGGGGGAATTTGGGGTTTTTTGGGGAATTTTGGGAGGAATTTGGGGTTTTTGGGGGGGAATTTTGGGAGGAATTTGGGTTTTGGGGGGAATTTTGGGAGGAATTTGGGTTTTTGGGGGATCTTTGGATCCCCCCAGAGCTTCCCAAAAAATTCCAGGGGGGGTCCTAAAAAAATCCGGGGGTGGAGGGGTGAGAAATCCCCCAAAAATCCCAAAAAATCCCCAAAAATCCCGAGGGATTCGGAGATTTTGGGTGAGGATTTTGGGAATTTGGGGGGATTTGGGGTCCGGGAGAATCCCGAGGCTTTGGGGACCCTCTGGAATTTGGGAATTGGGGGGATTTGAGCTCCTGGAGAGCCGAGAGAGATTCAGGGGGGATTTGAGGGGATTCTGAAGCCTCAGGAATTTGGGGAATTCGGGGAATTTTGGGGAATTTGGGGAATTTTGGGAAGATCCTTCAAGATTTGGGGCAGATTTTGGGCGATTTTGAAGCGGATTTCGGGGTCTGGGGGCTGGAGGCAGTTCCCCAGGATTGGGGAGGCATGGAATTTTGGGGAATTTGGGGGATTTTGGGGAATTTTGGGAATTCCGCATTTTTGAGAGCGCCAAACCTTGAAGATTTGGGGCAGATTTTGGGCAATTTTGAAGTGGATTTCGGGGTCTGGGGGCTGGAGGCGGTTCCCCAGGATTGGGGAGGCATGGAATTTTGGGGATTTTGGGGAATTTGGGGATTTTGGGGGATTTTGGGGAATTTTGGGAATTCCGCATTTTGGAGAGCGCCAAACCTTCAAGATTTGGGGCAGATTTTGGGCGATTTTGAAGCGGATTTCGGGGTCTGGGGGTTTCTCTGGTGGCTGGAGGCGCTTCCCCGGGATTGGTGGGGTGAGGAATTTTGGGGATTTTGGGGAATTTTGGGGATTTTGGGGAATTTTGAGGATTTTGGGGAATTTTGGGGAATTTTGGGAATTCCGCATTTTGGAGAGCGCCAAACCTTCAAGATTTGGGGCAGATTTGGGGCGATTTTGAAGCGGATTTCGGGGTCTGGGGGTTTCTCTGGCAGCTGGAGGCGGTTCCCCAGGATTGGGGAGGCATGGAATTTTGGGGATTTTGGGGATTTTGGGTATTTTTTGGGCTCCTTAGCGCGCAGGCGGGACGGCTTCGTGTCGTTCCACACCAGCAAGTACCGGCTGCATTACCTGGAGACGCCCTCGGGGCTGCGCCTGGTGCTCAACACCGACCTGGGCGTGCCCAGCGCCCGCGAGGCGCTGCAGCACATCTACAGCAACGTGAGCGCCCCGATCCCAAAATTCCACACCCAAATCCCCAAATCCCGGCCCCAAAATTCCCGGCGGAAGCGCCAAAATCCGCCCCAGGAGCGCCGGGATCGACCCGGGTCTCAAATTCCCGATTCTGCTCCCAAAAACTGCCCCCAATCCCAAAATTTGTGCTCTGAAGAACCTGAATCCCAAAATTTGGACCCTAAAAGCCCCAAATCCAGGAATTCCAGACCTGAATCCCAAAATTTGCACCCCAAAATTCCCAGCGGAAGCGCCAAAATCTGCCCCGGGAGCGCCGGGATCCGCCCGGGTCTCAAATTCCCGATTCTGCTCCCAAAAACTGCCCCAAATATCAAAATTTGCGCTCCTAAGAATCTGAATCCCAAAATTTGAGCCCTAAGATCCCCAAATCCAGGAATTCCAGACCTGAATCCCAAAATTTGCACCCCAAAATTCCCGGCGGAAGCGCCAAAATTCGCTCCAGAAGCGCCGGGATCCGCCCGGGTCTCAAATTCCTGATTCTGCTCCCAAAAACTGCCCCCAATCCCAAAATTTGTGCTCTAAAGAACCTGAATCCCGAAATCTGAGGCCTAAAAGCCCGAAATTCTCAAATTCTGGCCCTGAATCCCAAAATTTGCACCCCAAAATTCCCGGTGGAAGCGCCAAAATCCGCCCCGGGAGCGCCGGGATCCGCCCGGGTCTCAAATTCCGGATTCTGTTCCCAAAAACTGCCCCAAATCTCAAAATTTGCGCTCCTAAGAATCTGAATCCCAAAATTTGAGCCCTAAGATCCCCAAATCCAGGAATTCCAGACCTGAATCCCAAAATTTGCACCCCAAAATTCCCGGCGGAAGCGCCAAAATCTGCCCCGGGAGCGCCGGGATCCGCCCGGGTCTCAAATTCCTGATTCTGCTCCCAAAAACTGCCCCCAATCCCAAAATTTGTGCTCTGAAGAACCTGAATCCCCAAATTTGAACCCAAAAAGCCCCAAATCCTCAAATTCCAGCCCTAAAATTCCTGGCGGAAGAGCCAAAATCCGCTCCCAAAACGCCGGGATCGACCCGGGTCTCAAATTCCCGATTCTGCTCCCAAAAACTGCCCCAAATCCCGAAATTTGTGCTCTGAAGAACCTGAATCCCAGAATTCGGACCCTAAAATCCCCAAATCCGGGAATCCCAGACCTGAATTCCAAAATTCTGGCCCCAAAATTCCCAGCGGAAGCGCCAAAATCCGCCCCGGGAGCGCCGGGATCGACCCGGGTCTCAAATTCCGGATTCTGTTCCCAAAAACTGCTCCAAATCCCAAAATTTGTGCTCTGAAGAACCTGAATCCCAAAATTTGGACCCTAAAATCCCCAAATCTGGGAATTCCAGACCTGAATCCCGAAATCCCGGCCCCAAAATTCCCGGCGGAAGCGCCAAAATCCACCCCGGGAGCGCCGGGATCCGCCCGGGTCTCAAATTCCTCATCCTGCTCCCAAAAACTGCCCCAAATCTCAAAATTTGTGCTCTGAAGAACCTGAATCCCAAAATTTGAACCCAAAAAGCCCCAAATCCTCAAATTCTGAACCCAAAAAGCCCCAAATCCTCAAATTCCAGCCCTAAAATTCCTGGCGGAAGAGCCAAAATCCGCTCCCAAAACGCCGGGATCGACCCGGGTCTCAAATTCCCGATTCTGCTCCCAAAAATTGCCCAAAATCCCCCCTTGGAACCCCAAATTTCAACCCCAAAGGATCAGAATCCCAAAACCGGAGCTGTAAAACAACAAATCTCCAAATTTTGGGGATTTTCCTGCAAAAATCACGGGATTTTTCCCCAAAAATCTGGGAATTTTCCACAAAACAAGGGGATTTTTTTGCCCAAAATCTGGGGATTTTTCCCCAAAATAATGGGATTTTCCACAAAATAATGTGATTTTCCTGCAGAATAATGTGGTTTTCCCCCAAATTCTGGGGATTTTCCCCCAAAATAATGGGTTTTTCCCCAGAATAATGGGATTTTCCACAAAATAACAGGATTTCCCCCCAAAATCTGGGGATTTTTCCCAAAAAGGGTGGGATTTCTCCCAAAATAACTTGATTTTCCCTAAAATAATGTGATTTTCCCACAGAATAATGCAGTTTTCCCTCAAAATCTGGGGGAAAAAAAACAGATTTTGGGAAAAATCCACGGATTTTGGGGAGAAATACCCAGAATCTGGGGGAAAACCCCCAGATTTTGAGGGAAAACTGCATTATTCTGTGGGAAAATCACATTATTTTAGGGAAAATCAAGTTATTTTGGGAGAAATCCCACCCTT